ATTTTATCAATGATAATCAATAATTTATTAAACCCAGTCAATGATGACATGAGTTAAGTTATTTTTAATCCAAATGACCACGAACAGACAAAAATACCCCTATTTATTTTCCTCCCCAACCAATTGTGTCTAATCAAGCTTTAAGGATTTGTTTGAACTTCCATCACTATTTTCACAAACTCAGTTGATGAACTGAGACCAAAATTGAGAAGAACATCAACAATTGAAAATTGCGAGCTTTGATTTTTCTTAGTGGAGAGTGAGTAGTTTAGTGTATTATTCTACAATTTGGGTAATTTTACTGGGTTTGTTAGTTGAATTTTGGGGGATTTTTCATGAAGAATTATTGCGGTTTTTTTGTTGATTTCGCTCATAAATTCTTACATTGAGCATCAAAGATCGAATCTTTCATCAATTTCTAGAGAAATCGGCAATATTAATTTTGATACAAGTAAGGTATGTGTTCTTTTTTGCATTCTAGCGTGTTATGCTCTGTTTTTTGCATTCTAGGGTTAGATTCTTATATGTGATGTGCTTGTTGGGTTGTTTGTGTGATTGTTGGTTTGTTTATGTAATTGCTGCAGAATGGATGATAAAATAGTGTTGCAATTACAGTATAGGGTTAAAGATGTTACCATTACAATTGATGATATTGATAAGGCTAATATGATAAACCTAGTTGTTGAATATTGGGAAAAGGCAAAGGAATGAATATAGAAACACCCCAAAATCCTACTTTTAAGTATGTTTATAAAATGCAGCATGTTGAACTAAAGAGTGATGCTGATTTAATAATGAAAATATTTGCTAATTTATCTAGGAAGAAGGATATATATATATATATATATATATAAATATATATATATATATATATATATATATATATATATATATATATATATATATATATATATGGATTGGGGATGGGTTGAAGGACATTGGGGGGGTGGTAGCTGCTAGGTCATTAATGTTAGGTAAACAACCTATTGTTAATGAAGTTGAGAGTAGTAGGAGACATAAACTCACACCTAAAACGAAGAAAAGTCCAGAAGTTGAAGCTCAGGTTGTCAGTTGGGAAGAATTTGAGAGACATGTTCAGGCCATTAGTAGAATTGAAACCCCAGATAATGTTCTTGAAATTGAGATCATTGTACCCCAAACACACTGACGTGGAAGCAACATATGCAGATATTGTAGCTGAGGGAGAGTTAACATGAAGAGGGAGAGGTAGAGGTGAAAGGAATGGTGTCCTTCCAACAAGTGAATTATTTTGATAGAGGGTTCTGATTTATTAGAAACCTAGTTCTTCAGTGAGGTCAAGTGATCGGAATGCCTAGGTGGAGGCCGCTTCTGATCAGTAATATTAATGTGGTTTAGCCGATTTAGAGCTTGAATGTTATGATTTGTGAATGTGAGTTGTGGCCGGATATTTGACTATTTGAGCCCTATTATAGATTTATAGTATTATTTCTGTTTAATTGATAATAGTTGTCCAACCTACGCGGTATCTAGCAGGTTAGTGCTTGACCTCCATAAGCATTGTTCCACTAGTATCCTTTCTGTATTTTAATCTGGAACCATAATGATGATAAAGATAAGGACTTTAGAGTTTAAAGATAATTAAGGGGTAGGATAAAGATCAGGACTTTAGAGTTTAAAGTACCAAATTCCATTATTCAAGCAAAATTTGTTATAATTTAAATGTATGATGCCTTTATTGATTATTTATAGGTAGTTGTTAGATCTATGATTTGTATAATCAAATTAACCTTCTTATTAGCTATTGAAAATGGTGATTTTGTTGTTCTGGGTTTTTGAAATTTAGTGGGGAATTGCTAATTCGGAGATTTGGAGATGAAGGGTGGACTAAAATTGAGGTTAATGGGCGTTCTTTTGATGATATTGTTAGTTTTAATAACCTTGAGAGAACCCTTCTTTATGCGGTGGATGGACGATGATGGGACAACCTATTAATCAAATCCTGTATCCGCCACTGTCCGCCACCACCACCTCACGCCGTCCTCTTCTCCTCTGCCTTCTCCTTCCCCTTCGTACCAGCCATACTTCCCTTCTCCAGCTCACACAACTCAACTCCCTCGACCTCTTCGACAACACCGAACAACCCAGCTCATCCTCCTCCTCTCCTTCTCCCTCTCCCTCTTCGTCTGTCTTCTCTTGTCTGGCAACCACCGAAGCCGCAGCTTCTCTTCGTTTCTCCTGCTCCTTCGTCCTTTCGTGTGTTTGTGTTGTGTTGAAGACACAACTTCTTCCTCCTTTCCTTCCTCAATTAAAGGTACCTAAAACTATTTTCAATTAATTAATTTCCAGCATAAACTAGATACATGTACTATCTATGGATATGTATATCTGTAATTGCTAAGTTAAGTATATTGGTTGTATAATTTGTTAATTTCAGTGACTTGGAATAATTAATTGAAGGTGTTCTACTTGAAATTTTCGACTGATTTTTGGAGTATGAGCTATTTGTATGGCTTATTCTGTTGTGTAAATTTTTCAGAATTTTTAGAGCACTTTCAAAATTCCGACATTTCTGTGTGACTTGCTATCTTTGGACGCTCGTACTGAATTGGTTATGTATTGGATGGACTGTTTTTTACATGGATGGATAGAAGACATTGCAGGGAGTCCATGGCACTTTTCGGATCGGGATTTGGACGCCCGAGGCCCCGGGAAATCGTCCCGGAAGTTGACTAGTTCAACTGATTTCTGACGACGAATTTGAACATTTTCCGACGAATTTCCGGCAACTTAAAATTGAAATAAAATGACAATTGGACTTCAAATTTGCAATTCAATTATCCTATGACTTAATTAGAACTAATTAGACTTAGAAATACTCATGGACATAAATTTGAAGGACTCAATTTCTTTTAAATTCTAAGTATGAACGATAAGTTAATCAATTGAGTAATAATAAGTCTAAGTTAGAATAACTTAAGGTAATAACTTTCCTCTAAAAAAAAATGTTGAACTTAAGGTAAGAGGTAATAACTTAAGGTAATAACTTAAGGAAGTTAATATTTTGTTTCTTCTTTGGTGTTAGTTGAAACAATCGTTGTGAAATGTTGATTGCTGTCTTCTTGTTGTTGTTGTTGCCGCTTTATTGTTGTTGGTGTTCTTGATGTTGTTATTGTTGTTGGTGTTGTTGATGCTGCTGTTGTTGTTGGTGTTATTGTAGGATACAAGTTGTGGTTGCTGCTGTTTTTGGTATTTTTGCTGTTGTTGTCGTTTTTGTTTTTATTTTTGTTGCTATTGGTGTTATTGTTGTTGATGTTGTAGCTACTGTTATTAATGTTGTTGTTGATATTGTAACATTTTCAAGTGTTTTACTTTTGAACTTTGGATGTATTTAAGTGGCTACTTAGCTGGATGTAATAATTGTTTAACTTGGAGTATCTTTAGATTTTACTTAGACTGTTTGAACAACAAACATGGGACAACAAGTCTTTTGTGCTACCGAAGTGCCAACTTGAACTTAAGCAAATATCAAACTCTTTATAAACGGGTTAAGCGGATCAGGTTGACCCGTTTATCAACCTGTTTGCAAAATAAATGGGTTGAGCAGATCAGGTTGACCCGTTTATAGCAAGATTTTTAATAAATAGGTTGAACATGTCGGGTTTGGGTCGATCTCAGGGTTCATATTTTTGAACCTGTTTATAGGTTATGGTTTGGGGTTTTCAACCCGTTTAAGTATGACCCGAATCAAAATCGAACCCGAACTCAACTTGATTGTCGGCTCTACTTTATCCTCGATTTTATTTCTACATTGTTTATTTTCGATTTGTTTTGTTTAATTGTTCCTGAAGATTTTAGATTTTATTGAATAATATTTAATTAAATTGATTTTTATGTATATTTTGGTTTTTGTAGTGCCGATCCTTTTTTTTAGTGCTTCGACCCAAAACGAAAGCTTCCAGGCAAGCTCGTTCTGATCTTGGACGAAGTATAGTGGAATCCTGAAGCACTACCATGAACGCAATCGACACCACCTGTTGTGTTAGAAGCCAACTCCATCCGACTCTAAAGTCAGAAACAATGGATGCCAACATATTCGCCGTTGCAACTGAGCTATAATTTTTTTCTTTCTGTATGACTATTGCATGAATTATCATTCTAAATTTATGTTTTGTATCCAGTGGGTATGAATATTATTGTTGGGAATAATTTTTAATCCCACTGTAAAAATGTGGAAGTCATGTGAGATGCTTCTATGAAAAGTAGTCGATCTAAAGCCTCTTATTATCTTATTGCAGGTGCCGGATAGATGAATTGACTCGCATATGTTGTATAGGATCCGGTCCACTCGGTGTTTTAACAACTCATGTGTTAGCCGATAGATTTCCATTGAAGCGGTTCATATTGATTGATGTGAATGATACTCTGATCATTCAATACCAAAATGCAGTTGCAGCAATTGGTGGTGTAGGAGCATTCAACCTATCAATCCAGGAGCCACAATTTGATCAACTGTTTACCGCTATTCACACGGCTCCAAACCCAAATGTTCTATTTCGAACCGCACCGCATCATGCCACTAACATTATGCAAGCTCAAGTAATTATTATTTGTGCTGAATTAGATTTGGAGAAGAAAACTAGAAGGATCGGAGCTTTAGCAAACATCGACTTATCAGATTGGGAGAAAGCGGTAAATCTGGTTCGTCGACATGCTATTTCTAGGAAACTCGTAATCGACTTTTCCCCTTTTCCCCCTCTAGATGGGGGATGTGATGGGTAACCATTTACAACATATTTTAGTGTCGAACCCTCAATTTTTTTCCTTAGGAACTGCCATATCAGATTTGACTAATCCCACAAGAGTTGTTTTGGCTTTGAAATCTAATCATCCATTTGGGAATTTGAATTTTGTTCGGTTATTTTATCATCAAATGGGTCAGGAATGCAAACTTCAGAGCAGCTAAGTTCGGTAGACTAGCCGCTAATTGTTGTTTGGGAATTATGGCTATTTTTTCTAACATGATGACTGAAGTTGATAATCAAATTGAGGTTAATGTTGAGGATGTCACGAGGGTGATTATTACTGATGTAAGGATTGGTAATAGATTTTTGGATCCATATACTGATGTTGGGGGCCTAAATTTATTAAGGGATCTTAATGTACTTCGGTTTATAGCCCATCATTACAACTTGGATGATCACGCAAGATTTATTAGATATGCGATTGCGGCTAATGAAGAGAGAATGACTTGTCATATTCGCAAGATGAAGACCTCAATGATTTCATTCAAGGGAAAAACTTTAGCAATTTTTGGGATTGCATTCGAGGAAGGCACTAGTGATATTAGCTATTCTCCGGCTGTTTCAATGTGCAAAAAGTTGGTAAAGTATGGTTGTAATTTGAGAATATATGATCCTTTGGTACCTGAAGCTATCATTAGAGGGGTTTTCCCAATAGTAAATAGAGTAACTATTATGGGGAAAACTTTAATACTTGTCAAGGAACTCATGCCCTCTGTTTTTTCACTCGGAGTGCTAAATTCCAAATTCCAACAGATGGATTGGGGTCCGGCTCGTCCCTTAATGGCTCAGGGTACACAAGTTTTCATGTTTGATTTTGCGCGCAATGCTTTTATAGATGTTGTCATTGCACAAGCCGATATCACCATCGGGTTTCCTCATTTTTTTGAATGAAATGTAAGATATGGTAAATTCTAATTAATTGTAAGTAAATACTAAAGGAAAATAACAATACTTACATTTCATTCAAAAAAATGAGGAAACCCGATGGTGATATCGGCTTGTGCAATGACAACATCTATAAAAGCATTGCGCGCAAAATCAAACATGAAAACTTGTGTACCCTGAGCCATTAAGGGACGAGCTGGACCCCAATCCATCTGTTGGAATTTGGAATTTAGCACTCCGAGTGAAAAAACAGAGGGCATGAGTTCCTTGACAAGTATTAAGCATGTCAGCTTGAGTTTTCCCCATAATAGTTACTCTATTTACTATTGGGAAAACCCCCCTAATGATAGCTTTAGGTACCAAAGGATCATATATTCTCAAATTACAACCATACTTTACCAACTTTTTGCACATTGAAACAGCCGTAGAATATTTAATATCACTAGTGCCTTCCTTGAATGCAATCCTAAAAATTGCTAAAGTTTTTCCCTTGAATGAAATCATTGAGGTCTTCATCTTGCGAATATGACAAGTCATTCTCTCTTCATTAGCCGCAATTGCATATCTAATAAATCTTGCGTGATCATCCAAGTTGTAATGATGGGCTATAAACTGAAGTACATTAAGATCCCTTAATAAATTTGGGCCCCAACCAGCAGTATATGGATCCAAAAATCTATTACCAATCCTTACATCAGTAGTAATCACCCTCATGACATTCTCAATATGAACCTCAATTTGATTACCAACCTTAGTCATCATGTTAGAAAAAATAGCCATAATTCCCAAACAACAATTAGCGGCTAGTCTACCGAACTCAGCTGCTCTGAATTTCGCATTCAATATTATTCCCTGACCCATTTGATGATAAAATAACCGAACCAAATTCAAATACCCAAATGGATGATTAAATTTCAAAGCCAAAACAACTCTCGTGGGATTAGTCAAATCTGATATGGCAGTTCCTAAGGAAAAAAATTGAGGGTTCGACACTAAAATATGTTGTAGATGGTTACCCATCACATCCCCCAATTTATTCCCATCTAGAGGGGGAAAAGGGGAAAAGTCGATTACGAGTTTCCTAGAAATAGCATGTCGACGAACCAGATTTACCGCTTTCTCCCAATCTGATAAGTCGATGTTTGCTAAAGCTCTGATCCTTCTAGTTTTCTTCTCCAAATCTAATTCAGCACAAATAATAATTACTTGAGCTTGTATAATGTTAGTGGCATGATGCGGTGCGGTTCGAAATAGAACATTTGGGTTTGGAGCCGTGTGAATAGCGGTAAACAGTTGATCAAATTGTGGCTCCTGGATTGGTAGGTTGAATGCTCCTACACCACCAATTGCTGCAACTGCATTTTGGTATTGAATGATCAGAGTATCATTCACATCAATCAAAATGAACCGCTTCAATGGAAATCTATCGGCTAACACATGAGTTGTTAAAACACCGAATGGACCGGATCCTATACAACATATGCGAGTCAATTCATCTATATCAGGCACCTGCAATAAGATAATAAGAGGATTTAGATCGACTACCTTTCATAGAAGCATCTCACATGACTTCCACATTTTTACAGTGGGATTAAAAATTATTACCAACAATAATATTCATACCCACCGGATACAAAACATAAATTTAGAATGATAATTCATGCAATAGTCATACAGAAAGAAAAAAAATTATAGCTCAGTTGCAACGGCGAATATGTTGGCATCTATTGTTTCTGACTTTAGAGTCTGATGGAGTTGGCTTCTAACACAACAGGTGGTGCCGATTGCGTTCGTGGTAGTGCTTCAGGAAGTGGGGCGGGTGGTTTGCCAGAGATTGAAGGGAGGTGTGGCTATTAATTATGTTGATTGTTTGGTTAAGGGTTATTGTGAATTTGTGATATTTGGACTCCAAAACTTCCCCAAAATATAAGTGTTACATTTTTTAAAACTTCCCAAAATGGCAATTGTTGCAGTTTTTTTATTAAACAGAGGAACTACTTTATATGAATCTGATGAGTTATTCTGTTGTGTTTGATGTGAGCTTGTGTTCATTAAAGTTTTTTGGTTGTTCTCCTTTCCTTCGCCTGAGGTCTAAGCCTATGTATGCTCGTCCTTATTTAGAATCTACTGGCCATCACAAAAAAAAAATTATGTACTGAAGCTGACATTTTTTTGCTGATCTGTATTCTACAAAATTTATGCCTGTGTTTGAGCAGTCTAATGTCATATTTTACCATAGAGTTATATGTATAGAGAAATGTATGGAAAACGTGAAAAGAGAAGTGTTAGGAAGGATCATAAGTATCATTCCTAGGAAAGCAAGTGATAAGGTTAAGGCCTGGTTTAGTAGCTTGACAGCTAGGTAGTTGTTAAAGGCAGTATGTTCCCTTGCAGTTTGATCTTGGTGTTTTTGCCAAGGTTTTAGGTTGTATTTGGTTGTAAGGTTTTGTAATATATCTTACTTGCTTACCAAAAAAAATAATGTGAAATTTTACTTGCTTTCCAAAAAAAAAAAAGTGAAAATATATTCAGATATTTGCAGAAAACAATAGCTTAGCAGTTGATCCATCTTACATAGCTTCATGGTTGAGCCTTTTGTTGGCGGACACCTCAAGTTGCTCCTTTCCTTCCGAAAACTGATCCATTCATTGTGCTCTCAGAAAGGGAGCCTGTTGTTTGCTAAGATTTTTTTCATAATCAATCTGTACCTGTGCATATGACTTCGGTGCTTTTGAAGGAAAAAATATCTTGATATCTAAGGTAGGCGTGTACAGGTAATAAGGCGGACTAATAGTTCTTTCTTCACCTGTATGCTCTCGGACTAATTAAATTTGGGTAATTGCAGGTGGCTAGTGTAACATTTGACTTGCTGTTGTTGCTTGACAGTAGCTATTCAAGATGAACGGTCACAATACATGGTGAGTTATGGCCTGTTGCAACCCTGCTTTCTTTTATATTTATTTTTCTGGAGATGTTATTTTTGGAGCTATGGGGAACAGTCAATCGTTAGCTACCAATTTAGACTCAAGCATTTTATTTGTCTAACATTACTGTGAATACCTCCTTGAAACTGGGCATAGTCAATTGATGAGCACTAAAATCTGTTGGTTTGAACAATTTGGGTAGAAAAGGAAAGGGATGGATGACAGAGATGTAGACTGCAGATGGATGAAGTCATGAAGGACAGGGGATTGGGAAATGAATAAATGGAGGGTTTAGCAGAATTCACACAAGAGGACTGAGGGACCTCTCTTTTCGTATCTACAGGGGTTGTTTTTTACCACTCAATTGCCGAATAACAATTGGAAGGATACATATTTTAGGTGATTCTACATAACGCGGTCCTTTTTTTTTTTTTTGAGGCCTTGTGCAACTTTTCTGTTGATGAATAGTATTAAAGTGTAAAATAAACTTTCATAGTGAACAACCAGACGGAGATAGCAACAGAAAGGCAAAGGGTAGAGCTTCAACAGCCTAGGCCCCTAAGAAGTCAGGCGTAGCTCCTGTTGGCATTTCCAGTCAGTATAAATTAGCTATATCATTCTATTATCATGGAGGTGGCCTAAGATGAGAGAGGTGTAGGGTGATGTTAGTGGAAGAGGGAGCCTTAGTTATGTTCCATTTTTATGTTCTTTTTCTCTGATCAATTATATTTTCCCCAATTTTTCCTTTTCCCTATTTTTATGTTTCATTTTTCTGATCTATTACACACTTCTTCCCCTTGAGTATCATTTGCATCTTGGAAAGGAATTGGATTTAAAGTTATGGGATACCTTGTACTTGAAGGAGGTTTCTTTGGCTTTTGAGTGCTTTAATGGTTTCAATTTCAAAGAAGTCGTGTGTGCTGTGGTTTTCCTTTCTATCAACCTTCATGTGTCCGAACTCTTCTTCACCGTAACCAGGGAAGACAATTATGCACTGCTTTGTCTCATCATGTTAGACCTTTCATCTTTCGGAATGAATCGTATATATACCTATATTTATGTGTACAACTGCTTTGCATCCGAAGACTGGAGTTGTATATATATACCTATCCAAAGTTCCAAACTCTCTGTGGGATTTGAATCCAGAGGCACTTAAAGGAGACATGTTTATCAAGTAGATATTGATTCTCGTGGACTTTTTCTCAAAGGATTTTGAGTGCTTTTCATGACAGATTATTGCTAAAATCATTCAGCAATCTCTGTTCATGCTCTTCAAACTCCATTATGTTGTGGTTTATTTAGAACTGTTGAAATCTGATACCGTAACCTTAACTACATTATTCAAATAATCCTCTATACTCGTCACCATTTTCTACTTTTAAAAATTATTCTTCCCTCCTAAGCGATTTTTTCAAGTGACATGTTCTACCATTTCTGTATGAGCCATGTAAAAACTAACAAAATCTTTTCTTTTGTGAAACTACTCCATTTATTGTTATATTTGAGACTCCCGGTTCTCGCGTTTTTCCTAACAAATCGGTACTCCCTTCTAGATTAGTTTTGACACTTATCATGTGACATAGTTTTAGATGATAAGTTGTTTGATATCGATGTTATTTTATTGAATAGGTAGAAGTGATAAGATATAGTTAAAGGCTTTTTTTTTTCTTTTTTTTGGAAAAAGATGTGATAAGTGATAGTGGAGTATTTAATTTATTGAATGTGAGAGGGCGTAAGACCCTAACTTATAGTAGTGGGGAAGAGAGATGTATTAAAATAATAGTGGAGTTCTCAAAATAAATGTGTGAAACTGATCTGCGACGGAGGGAATTTAGATAATGCTTCGGAAGAGAAGGCCAGGTTTGGTCTTTGCCGGATTTAGTATGCTTTGCTGAGTTGCTAGCGAGTATTGCTCACATGTATTATTACATTTTGGCATGGTAAGATACCTCTAGAAGTTGCTATTTCTTTAGGATTAAGAATCTTGGGTTTTCCCTTTAGATATTGTGGATCGAATGGAAATTAGATTATGAGGGTTTTGTATGTGTATGGAGAAGAAATTGTTGTGGAGCAATGCTTTTATGGTAATCAGGTCCAGTGGTGTTGATTTTCTCCCCTAGCCTTGATATTACCTTCCATGAAAGTGGTGTGTGGGGGGCTGGAGCTTAATTGAAGGGTAGTTTTAGGAATCTCTTTGTCATCTCAATTATTATGGGATAAAGTCACTTATGGAGCCTCATTTTGGGCTAAGGCGGTTGGGGCTTTTAAGAGTTACTCTCAATTGGGGAGGTTCAAATAAACTTGGTTAATATGTAATCTGGTTACTGTTTAGAGCCAACCTTTCCAAAGGTTCAGATGGTTGCTCATCTTGCATAATCATAGTACCAAAGCTAATACCATTTTCTTCATACTCAGCTTCAAAATGGAAATTGAGTTTGACTGGGACTTGGAAGCTTCACTTGTGAAACAGAGAGAAGAATATAGAACAGTATTAGTAATTTAGTTTACTTTCTTTCGTAAACTTTTCCTTATTTCACTTGTGAAATTTTTTTGTATTGGCTATGATGTAAACTAATTAAGCAATGTATGGAGTGTATATAAAGTGAGTCCGGATCCTCTATCTCACAATTTGTGTATCACTGTGTACCACTGTTTTCTATTGGTTGATATTAATACAATTTCAAGTATTGGCTCATATTTATATATTTATTTTCACGAGCATTTTGATGTTGGAAACTAAGTCTTACTTGGTTCTTTGCTCGCAGAATGTAACAGATGATAAGTACTGGAAAGTGCTATATCCCAGCAAGTGGTTTAGGGCATTCCTGGTAGGTGTAGAAGTTCAATCTAAATTCTACAACATATTTATGCAACAGTCTCAATGATATAAGTTGTACTATGCCTTTGCCATATCTTTGATGCAGGTGTTGTTGTGGGCCACCAATTCTTTAATTATATGCGCACGACATTGCAATGGGGTAATGCATTTTACTATTCTACAGATTTTTCACTAAAATGGATATCCAATTCTATTTCTTTCATCTGAAACTTCACGTCGCTTACAAAATCCCAGCAAATTAATGTAGAAGATGTAATCTCTCATTAACTTCTTTATTTCTCCCCCATTCTCTCTCCTCTGTATTTCTATTCTTTCTGTCAAATCACCACTTAGAAAATTTATAAGCTTTTGATTTCATTCTTTTCCCCTCTTTTGATCCTGGTTCACTATCTTTTGTGCTTAGTTTTGTGGATTAATGGTTCTTCTTTTAATTTTGCCGTATGTTTCATTTTTTAGGGTTTTTCGGGTTAGCGTTTCTTAAATTTTCGGACTCTTTCTCAAATTCGAGGTATTTAAAAGTTTATTGGGTTGATTTCTAATGAATTTGTTCCCTTTTCTTTCAATTTTCCTTTTTTCTTTTTGATTCAGTAACTTGTTATGTTCCTGGTGTTGAATTTTGGCCTATATTGTTTGAATGTGTGTATTTCATTTTTTTTTTCCCAATTTATAGTGATTTTTTAATTAGGAAGGGTTTGGTTTTTTAGCTAACAAAAATTTAGGATGAATCGCCCTGTTCAAGCTAATTGGAAAACTTATGTTAATTTACTAATTTTTTTACGACTAATCTTGGTGTTGTTTGTTCTTATTTTTGTAGTGCTAATTTTGTAGGTGGGAAAGTGAGAGAAACTGACGCCGTGGGCATCACCTCAAGCTTATCATGTTGAGACATGTGACCTGTGTGATCGACTGAAAGTGTAGCCAGAGATTGATTGGATGAATTTCCAAAAAAACAGGGACACTATTGTTCTATATATTGCCAGGTCTGATTTCTATTTCAGTTTCTAATGGTTTTCATTTTTTTTTTCTAATTGAACTTTTGTGGGTTTTGGTGTTTGGATTTTTGTGGGTTTTGGTTGAATTATTGTTCTGGAAATTGGTTTCTTCAGTTCTTTGAATTTTAATACTTTTCTCCCTCTTAATTAGATGAATTTGTCCGTCTTTTGGTTGAATTATATTGCAAATGAATTTACTTTCTGTTATTCTCATTTGTAGAATGAATTTACTTTAGATGAACAATGAATTTACTTTCTGTCAACTATATTCTATTTGGCGAATGCAATGGCGGTCATGCTGGGAAAAAAACCGAACGCAAAGGGCCGTTATGGTCTTATGACTGATCATAGATTTGGAGACATCATTATCAGTATACACATTGGAGTTGGGTCACAAAGAAATTGAAATTTGTATACATCATTATCAGTATACATATTGGAGTTGGGTCACAAGGAAATTGAAATTTGTATACATCATATTTGAGTAGTTAAGCTACAGACCTACTGTCATGTCGAACCTTTGGTATCTGGGTTTTGTTAGAGTGCCTTATTTCCTCATTATTTATTAAATTTGTTGGGAATTTTATTAGCTTTATAGATCTAATTGATGTTTGGTTTCATGTGGGTATGATTGATTTGCCCGATCGGATGTTTTAGTCAGGGTATTTTTTTGTTTCAATGATTACTTTGATGGGTTGGTTTCAATTTTTAATCATTTTAGTAATTCAAGTTTTGATTTCAATTTTTAATTATTATTTTCAATTGCGGTTATTGTTCTTTGATTCAGCTGCCTTTATTCCCTCATCAATTGCTTGTTAATTGCTTGTTTTTACATTTTGCAGATGTGGAGCCAGTCCAAACCAAGAGAAAATTGGTTAATGGGCTTGAATTAGGTATCTCAACTTATTTCCCTTTTCCTTTGGTTAGCATATTTGCAAACCCATAATTCTTTCCCTGCAATATTGTGGTTATGATGTTGTCGCAGTTGTTGGTTGATCAAGTATTACTTCAATTAGTTGTCGATTGTTGAGTTATAGGTATGCTTTTACATAACTTTTTTTGTCTCAAGTTTTGTTGAATTTTGTGATAGCAAAGGACTGGATTTCATAGCTGGCTTTTGTGGACCTTAATGACCAATGAGATTTTAGCTCCCTTTCTACTTAAGCTCTCCAATTTCGCCCTTTACTTATTGATGTAATTAAGCTTTGAATACAAAGAATTTATAAAATCTAGCACAACCACTTTTTCTTTTGCAGAATTTATGGTTTTTAATTTCATTTGGGACATTAATGTGATATGGGTACTTGCTAATTTTAACGGAAATGGTTCATGTTTCAATGTTTGAGTTAATTTGCCTCTTGTTTAAATAAAATCTATTGTGAATGAGTAATTTGATTTGACAAAGGAAGTAGATTTTGTATTAAATTTGAATATTTTTCACGGGGTAGTCAATTTGCTTGAGAGTTGAGATGAATCTTTAGTTATAGGCTTACTCAATTGCTATATGAATGGTGATGATGCAGTACTTCTATTGAATATGAGCCAATACTTTATTATGAGCATCAATTTATTTTGAGTTATCTTTGTTCACTGTGTAACTAATAAGTTCAGAATTGATGCACCTGGACGATCCGCTCAGTACTGATCTAAGAAATATGAGTGCTTTAGCAAAGGTTTATTTATCAGCTTTACACATTATATACCTATACTTTAGAACTTAGTTACTTGCCATTTTCAACCAATTTGATTAGTAAGTGCCTCTATTGATATCCTTCGCAGATAATGTGGCAAAGGTGTATTGATAGAGGAGCCTTGACACTTGCTTTTGCCAGAGCTCAAGTTCCTGATTGATATAAGCCTCGTGACACTCTCCACATGGTATGTATTCTCTTTTTTCATGCTTTTAAGTTACACTCATCCATGCTGAAAATATTTAGGAGTAAGGTCCAAGAAAATATAAATTCATGACTCAGTGTCTGTTTGGCCAATCATTTAGAAATGAACTTCTATTTCCTAAAAGTAGTTCTCCAGAAACACTTGTGAAAAACAGAAATGCTTGGCCAAAAAGTTTAGAAGTGCTACTTAGGAATAGAAACAAAATCCCTGTTTGGCCCATTGTTTACCAGTAAGAGTATTTGGCTGGCCTACCTTTTCTTTCTATTATGTCATTGCATAATGTTAATAATCAGTGTATTAACTAATTTGATTTGCCAACAAAGGTCGTTTTCTTTGGGGTAACTCCCCAACAAGGGTTAGTGTAATAATGTCATTAATCAGTGTATTAGTTAATTTGATTTCCAACAACAAAGGACTCCAAAGAAACTCTTTTGGCCCTCTGCTTGTTGTTTCATCTCTTTTTACAACAATTGTAAATCATCTCCTTGGAAACTACGATGAACAACAGAAGAAGTAGGAATAATTCTCTACATTATAATTCACTCCATTTTTGTAAAACTAATCACAATACCACAAGGCTTGAAGTTTCTAAGATCTGATAAAAATTTGAGAAACCCGTTGAGATTCTGCAACTAAAAATTAAAAATTTCCACCTGTACACCAAAGAATTCATATTTTCATAATTGAAAACAACAGAGGACAAAACAAGTTCTTAAGAACCTATCCAGACATATCAAAATCAAATTAAATAGCCATCAAAATTTAATAAATAACTAAACAAAAAGAAGATCTGTAACAATGCAATTGGTAAACATGGGAATTCTTACTGTTAGTAAATAGGTATTATAAAATCAACAAAATATGGCATCATAAAGTTATTTGATGGAGGATATGGATTAGGGAGAGGACGAGGAGGAGGATCCGTAGATATCATGGCTTGACGAGGAGAGAGAAGAACAGGGAGTAGGAGAGTAGTTTTAGGTGGAGTTTTAGGTGGGATATTAGGGACATTTTTCAAAAAATATGGGGTATTATGGAAATGAAGAAAATTTCATTTGAAGGGAAAAAGAGCTCCCCGAAAAGCACGGGTAGAAGCTCTAAATTGGTGTTTCTCCTTCTCTTCTTTCTTAGAAACCAATTTGGGCTTCTAGAAAAATTGTTTCTCAAGTTGATAAACAGTTCTAGAAGCTTGGCCAAACGGGGTCTTAAACTTACTTCTTCCTAGATGCAATACTATGGAGACACACCATTCTATCTCTTACCAAGTACAAACCCTAAGGTTTAAGAAGCATGCCCAGGTGCTAGCCTCAAGCAACCATAGTTCCTTCAAATCTATTATTTACACTTTCTTGTATCGTTGTATTGCATGCTTGGCGTACCTTTTCTCTTCCTGTAAACACCTTGGAGCACCATAAGTGTACTAGATGTAAATTGAGCCCTTTATTCAGTTTTTGGACTGGACTTGAGCTTGTGTTGGTGTATATGTCTGGTTTCTTTCGTATTGTTTCTTGAGTTGTGATTGATCAGGATTTGCTAATTTATCCGGCTTTAGACTTTGGTTGTGTTTGGTACTGAGCACTGCCTCTTGTAACTGGTGTGCATTATAAACAATTGGTTGCGCTGCCTGTTCTTAGGTGCTGAATCTGAGAAAGAAAAAGAATTTTATTATATAATATTTTATCCCAATAAAAGAATGTAAACTAACTATATTAGCTAATTAGGTAGCGCGCAAAAAACTGGCAGTATCTTATGGCATTTATTAGTCTTTTCTTGGAAAAATTATATGGAGCGATTCACTGGAGAGGATGTTAATTTTGTGTTGCATTGCAAGAGTCCAACTTGTATATCGATTCTAATTCAATTGGAATAGATGATAATAAGTTATGGGATTAATATTTATAAATCCTTTCTTGGCAAATTTATATTGAGTGATTCACCTGAGAGGATGTTTATTTTGTGTTGCATAGCAAGAGTCCAACTTGTATATCGATTCTAATTCAATTGGAATAGATGACAATAAATTTGGCAAATGCATAGCCTGGATGTTCAAAAGAGGGATTAAGTGATACTAAGACTCATACTTCACATGGATTATGGGTGCTACCTGTATTTTAGCAGTGTGCGTCTTAGTTGAACTACTTTTTAAATTTAATTTAGTTAGCTATCATATAATGGTAGAATAATTGAAATTGCATCGGATTTGGTGTTTTATGTGCTGATTCATTTTTGTTTATATGGGACTCTCTTCTATTTCCTTAAAAACTTCCTATTTAATTATAATTCTGCATTGCCATAATATAATATTAGAGAAGCAGTTGTAATTGGGGGTTTTGTGGGTTCTCTTCTTTTACCTGATTCATGACTTTGGCTGATGTTTATAGATCCATCTGAAGTATTAAGGGTTTTAGGGATGTTTAGAAGATTTGAATATTGGGAAAGCTGTTTATTTCCCCTTTACTAGAAAGTAATTAGGTTTGTGTTACTGATATGTGATATCTGAAATTCAAAACCCCTATTTTCTTGTTTAAAGGCACTTCTTTTTGCCCTACTCTATTTCTGGATTCTTTGAATTATTATAGTGGTACAAGAACTCCTATTTGAGTTTTATGCTCCAACCTAATGCTATAGGTTGTTGAGTTTTGCAGGAATTTTAGAGCTTTTGTGATGATTGATTTCATCATTTATCATTGTCAAGTACTAATGGTTAAAGATTGGTTGTTGAATAACTACTGCTACTAGTACTAAAATGAGATACCCTTAGATGTCGCGTTTATCAATTAGGTTAATCTACTTTCGGATATGTCAAGTTGGATGCCTTGCTTTACAGAGCCTGAGTAATTCACTTGAATGATGTTAGTGGTTTAGGTGATTTAGCACTGTGTAGTATTTATATCTAAGCATTATAGTATATGATCAGTTGTTGATTAAAAAATGGCTTCCATTCATATCAGCATGAAGCTAACGTATACCTATCTATTATAGCTCATATTGAGCCTACGGTCCTTTGTATATATGCTTCGGTACAGGATGATGCAGTGAGAAAAGTGATGAGAATAATGCTTCTCTGAAAGCTCTGGAAGATGCAATTACCACAAGAATTTAAAATATTGGAGACAAAAGTAAATTGGAAACAGGGATGGTAAAGGAAGCATGTGACATCGAGAAGCATCATATGCAGTTAGCTGAAAGCTACGATCTCAAATCTAAGCTGCAGATAGCTTGTCAGGAATGATCTTTCTTCTTTCTGAGCTATTGTCTCAAATCTAAGCTGCAGATAGATGTTGGTCCTTGTACATGGGTAGGAAAGCTGATAAGCTGCATACAATTGGTAAATAGGTGATTGCACTAACAATCTTATTACTCCTGACTAAGGATGTGGGCGATAAGTATTTGTAGATCTCTTTATCCTGTGCATATTGAGTAATCATTTTTTTTAACCTGTAGGGTTATGGTACTAATGGAAGAAGCATAGCGTTTTGCTTGCAGGGAGCACAAGTCAACAACTACATGCAGGCTGCCTTCAAAACGAGTTGTAAATTTCTTATAATCCGGATTTGATTTTTAGGATGGTTGGGTGCGTTGGATGTTGCTACATTGCCCCTTTATCATGTAAAAATGTTGTAAATTTTTTTTTTTTTGACAAATTTTGGAACTGTATTTGTTAGGCATAAGGTGTTAAGGAGGATATCAATGGACATGGCTGTTTGGCATTTTGCTTAAAGTTTAGCAATCTGAGGGTCGGTCTTTATGTTATCTTGTGCATTTCATGCTTAATATTCTCTTTTGCAAATATTCTTGTTATTCTGACAATACAATGTTAAAACGAGTTATATGCATATCTTGTTCTCGTCTATATTCCATACTTTTACTTGTGTTCTCCAGTTTTGTATGCACTTGTTTTGTAGCACAAGGCCAATGCATTGGAGATACTATGTGCAATGCTTTATGAAATTGAGAAATATAAAACTTAGATAAACCAATCAAAGCTTCGGGCAAAGCAGGTGAAACGTCTAAACAATTCATCCTCGTTTTAGATGAATATATGAATTGTTTTCTTGTCTACCGAGCATATTTTCAATTCTTTTTTGGTTAGTCATTGGAAAACTACATTTACTGATAACTTTTATAGATTGGCAGCGGTGACAGATACGAACGCATTCGTACATACAACTTTCGCAAGGACGTGTTACTGATCACCATGTTCGTGTTAGCATCACTCAATTAATGAGGTACCGCAGCGAGAGAGTTTAGATGTATTCACTGATGCTCATCACTCAATAACCTGCGCAAGGTGATATAAAGAACAGTGGACAGAAAGTAGCTAACTATTCAACCTATTGCACATTGTAATTTGTTGAGAATTTTCAAAATAGAACTTCAAAGGTGAAATGTTGTCAGGCCATGGCCGCTGGAACGCTTTTTTTGCATGGAGCTTCAACTACTTTCCGTAGGTAACTTGGTCCGACATCGGCAGCAGGTTGTGATCATCTTGTCCAAGAAAAAAAAATTAAAAATAAATGGACATTTGTTATAATTCCTAATTTTACCAAACCATTAGATGATATAAATATAGTTTCATTCTTCGCACTGCATGTCTGCAAAGAGTAAATAAAACAGAGAGGAGTACAATTGCATACTTCCAGAGATAAACTAGGTCTAGCACCTATACAAAACAAAACCATGAATTTGTGGGATGCAGACGTTGGTCCACCCACAAAAAGGCTTGCTGGCGTGATTTTTAGGCCCCCTGTGCGTTCATGATAATGGGCGACTTTGCAATAGATCAGGTAGCATTTTCCTTCCCGTGAAGGTAACGAGTTTTTCAAACTGATGACAAATTTGTGATTTCCCATCTCTTTCAAGTTTCAAGCAATATCAAATTCATCACACTTCAAAGAGAATACCTTTTGTAACAATAGCGACAATTCCTCATTTCACATCTTGGTAGGCGGTCGCACACCTAGCAAAAATAATCTAACTAGGGGTGGGACTTCGGTTTGGCAGTTCGGTTTGACCTCGGTTTGAAACGGTTTCGGTTTGAAACGGTTCGGGTTGAAACGGTTTCATTTAGACGGCGGGTCGGTTCAGTTCGGTTTTGATTAGTCACAGGTCGGTTCGGTTTCGGTTTATTTTTGTACGGTTTAAATTCGGTTCGGGTCATAAACGGTTCGGTTTATAAACAGTTCGGGTCATAATCAGATCGGTTAGAAACGGGTCGCTTCAGGGGCGGGTTTACTCGGGTCAATGCCGGTTCGATTTTTAAACGGTTTGGTTAGTAATCGGGTCGGTTTGAAACAGGTCAGTTCAGGGGCGGGTTTACCCGGGTCAATGCCCGTTCGGTTTATAAACGGTTCGGGTCATGATCGGATCGGTTCAGGGGCGGTTTTACCGGGTCAACGTCGGTCCGGGTTCATATCGGTTCGGGTCATGAATGGATTATTTTAAAACGGGTCGGTTCAGGGGCGGGTTTACCCGGGTTAATCCTAGTTCGATTCATATCGGTTCGGTTTATACTCGGTTTGGTGCTAAAATCGTTCGGGTTAGTTTGGTAATCGGTTAAATTGGATTAGGTTGAAACGGTTCATTTCTTTAGGGAACTTGATAAAGTTGGTTTGATTCGGGTTGAAATCGAGTTCTAAAAAGTGGTTTTGACCAGTTAGCGCGTTTTGTTTTATATCAAGTTGGGACTAGTATTTCCATTTCATTAGTGGGTCGGCATAGGTCGGTGAAAAAAATAATGGATCGAGTAGAAATTGGGTTTTAAGAGATTTTTGACCGGTTAGCTGTTTTTGTTTAATATAAAGTTGGGACTTCGTCACTTTATTTTCAGACATCGGATTATATACAATTACACAAATCTTCATTTATTCAATTATTCTATATCATGTTAATATGTTATGTTTCAAGTTTGGTTATACTCTTGTTGTTGTTTATTCGATATTATCATATTAGTCTATTACAAATTTATATTGTATTATTGTTTCATTATCAAATATATATTATCAGGTTATCAGCTTCTTGTTGGATTGTTTTAGATATCGTGTCATGACCATGTTTTGATGAGTTGCTACTTTGAATACGATAAATCGATTCAGATATTAGATTATATAGAATTACAGAAATTCTCATTCATTCTATATCATGTTAATGTGTTATGTTTCAAGTTTGGTTATAGTCTTGTTGTTGTTTATTAAATATTAGTCTATTACAAATTTATAAGGTATTAAATTTTAATGTATTATTGTTTCATTATCAAATATTATCAGGCTATCAGCTTCTTGTTTTAATTGTTTTAAAGATCGCGTCATGACCATGATTTGATGAGTTGGTACTTTGAATACGATAAATCGATAATTGATGTTGTAATAAACTAATAATTTAATGTTACGGAACTATATTTGGATACTTATTTAAAATCACGATTATTCAATTTCCCATTAGTGTAATAAAGTAATAATTGACAATTGTTTGTAACTATTCCATAATTTTGGTGTTAAAGTTATATTGCTGAATTACTTTGTTGTCTTACCCTCTCTAATCTCCTTTTAAGATTACGTGCCTACAAGGCTGCAACATATATATGTTGCAACTTGCAAATTAAAGAAAACGGGTGGGGAAGTAGAAGTATTCAATTAGATCGATCATCAACTGTTTTAAGTTTTAATAATCAGATACATTTATCGATTATCTATACATACCAATGATAGTATGATACCAATCTACCATACATTATTATTTATTACATATACTGATATACATATAACTAATATACATTAAATATGTCGTATTGAATCAATTCCAATTTCCAAACATTTGTGTTTCTTACAATTTATAAGTTACATAAAGTTAAGAGTACAGTAGTGTTTTTATTAGTACGTAGCTATGAATAAAAAAAAAACATGCTATCCAAATCCATCATCCCATGATCCGTGTCACCGTCTTATATTAAATATCAGCCATTGATTTGCATGTCATCTAACGGCCTATCATCGCACATATTCCAATTCACGATCCGTGTGTTTTCTTTTCCACCAATCAGATAACTCTTACCATCGTCTCTTTAGTACTCTTTTTGATTTCTCTCTTGTTTTCTCTCTCCTCTTCTGTAATATTATCAATATTTTGAAGCCATGGCTGCTAATATGCTCACTGCTCTCTCGTTTTCTCTCTCATCTCCTCTTCCTTCTTCCTTTCTTCTTCTTCCTTCTTCTCCCTTCTCCCGTCTATGTTCTCCTTTCTTCCATCTCGTTTCTCTGTCCACCGGCACCACGCACGACGGTTTTTATGGTCAAATTCGACCACGAAACTCTAGTTCTAGTTGTTTCATGATCGAATTTGGCCTTTTAAAACAAAATTCGAGGCCAAATTCGGGATTAATATATAAGGCTTTTTCGTTCTTCCTTTTTTTATTTTCTGTTTTTTTTTTTTTTTTTTTTTCAGGTTGTGGGCGACGGAGGGGGCCGAGTTAGGATGGGTGCAGTGGCGGCGGTTAGAATGAGTTCGGGTGGGTAGGGAGGGAGGATTTTTCGAGGGAGGGAGGGAGTTTTATGGTGGGTGAGCAGTTAGAGTGAGTTGGGGGGGTTTCGAGGATGTAGGGTTTCGTGGGGGTGGGTGGGGTGGGGTTACGGTGGGTTTGGGTTTTTTTTCGGTTTTTTTGTATGGGGTGGGGTGTGTTACGGTGACGGTGGTGGGTGTGGTTGGGGTTGGGTCTACTATTTTTTTTTTCCTTTACAGTGACGGTGGTGGGTGAGGTGGGGTGGGGTTTGTTAAGGGGGTGGGTGGGGTGCGTTACGGTGATGGTGGTAGGTGGGGTGGGGTATGGGTCTGGGTTTTTATTATTTACGGTGACGGTGGTGGATGGGGTGGGGTAAGGTTTGGGTCTGGGTTTTTTTATTTACGGTGGGTGGTGGGGTGGGGTGGGGTGGGTTACGGTAATTATGGTGGGTGGGGGGTGGTGTTAGGGTGGGTCTGGGTTGACGTTGGTGGGGTGGGGGTGGGTTACGGTAACGGTGGTGGGATGGGGGTGGGTTACGGTAACGGTGGTGGGTGGGGTAGTGTTAGGGTGGGTCTGGGGTGACGGCGGGGGTGGTATTAGGGTGGGTTACGGTGGTGGGTGGGTGGAGGGTGGTTGGATTGGGTGGGTGGCCAAATTTTTTAATTTTTTTATTTAATTTATAACTCCTAATTTAGCTATACAAGAATATAATTTTAATTTTATAATAGCAAAAAAATTTACAAATTTAAATCAATAATTATACCTAAAAAAAATTGTACTGTTAAATTACATTAAACATCAAATATATTTCGTGGAATTCTAACAAATTGTTAGGCTGTAAATAGTTCAATTTGAATGGAACGGGTTGTAAATGGTTCAGTTTAAATAGTTTGTAATCGGATCGGTTTAAACGGGTTGCGGTTTGAAAATAGTTCGGTTTAAACGGTTTAATGGGTTATAACAGTTCGGTTTAAACGGTTAGCGGGTTGTAAATGGTTCGATTTAAACGGTTTTTTCTTACGGTTTAAATGGTTTCGGTTTATAAATGGTCTGGTTTAAATAGTTAGCGAGTTAACATTAATCGGTTCAAACGGTTTCGGTTTATAAACGGTTCGGTTTGTTATCGGTTTACGGTTCGTAACGGGTTAACATTAATTGGTTCGGTTCGGTTTTGGTTTGACATTATACGGTTCAGTTCGGTTTTCGGTTTAAAATTAGCGGTTTATAAACGGTTCGGTCCGTGATGGTTCGGTTCGGTAACGGACGG